AAAACGCTGTCGGACAGCTGCTGGTGACAATTCAAGAAGAAAAACATCTTATTATTATAGCTTTTTTGTTTCTAATACACAATATAGAGTTTGTAAATCATATTATCTTTCAACATTGAATATTAGCAGCCATAGAGTGTTTTACTTTCATAAGTTTAATAAATCTTTAACTACTGGAACACCATTGCAATCAAAATCAGGGAAACATGTTAAAAAAAGGTTACTAGAAGAGTCTAAACAAGTTGTACGAGACCATATTAACCTTTTCCCAAGAATTGATGCTCATTATAGCAGGAAAAAGACACATAAAGAATACATGGAAGGATCACTAAATATAGGTAGAATGTATGATCTTTATAAAACATATTGTGATGAAAATGTCGCTCCTCCAGCAAAAGAACATATGTATCGTTATATCTTTAATCACGAGTTCAATATAGAATTTCAAAAACTGAAGAAAGATTTATGTGACACATGCTATGAGTATCGCAACATTGTTAATGCAAGCAATGAACAAACAGATAGTTATAATAAGCACATAAAATCAAGGAATGATACCAAAACTGAACGTGAAAATGATCGCCAAAATGTTGATTCTAAAACTGCAATTGTTTGTATTGACCTTGAAAATGTTTTAAATTTGCCTAGAGCTAATGTGGGAAACTTTTATTACAAACGAAAACTTTCAAATTATAACTTAACTGGTCATTGCTCGCTTAACAGGAAGGGTTATTGCATTCTTTGGCACGAAGCCATGACTGGTCGTGGAGGAAATGATCTAGCCAGTGCTGTAACATGTTTGCTTTTGAAAATCATGGCTGACCTTGACATAAATAAGTTCATACTTTGGTTCGATTCATGTGTACCACAAAACCGCAATAGTTTCATGTCAGCAGCTTTGTGTGAGTTTATAATACGATACCCACAAATAAAAGTAATTGAACAGAAGTTCTGCGAGCCAGGTCATTCCAGCATTCAAGAATGTGACAACAATTATAGTCATATTGAAAAATCCCTCTCTGCTGCAGAAATATTTAGTCCACTTGGGCTAGAAAGAGCTATTAAAAATGTAAACCGTAAAAAACCTTTCTGTGTTTACCAAATGCAATTAGGAGATGTAAAGAATTTTTTAGTTGTCGCTGGTTTGTCAAGTTATAAGTTAGTGCCTTATTCAAAGGTTAAAAATCTTGTTTATCAAAACGGACTGCCATACCATGTTTTTTTTAAAACCTCGTTTTCAGATAATTATTCACAAGCTCGTATAAATAAGTCTGTCAAGAAAGCAGCATCAACCATTGTTGCAAAACCATTAAACACCAATATACCAATGGCAGCTTGCTTTCGTGCTTCTTATCAGTCTATATCTGTTGCAAAAGCCAATGATATCATTTCCATGTATTCATACATGCCTGCTGTTGATATTGCATTTTATAAAACAATAATAAATTGAACATTTACAAAACATTAATAAAGTCAAAATATTTTTAGGGTTGTTATATGTTTAGTATAAATATAAATAACATATTTATATAAATATAATAATATAAATAATATACATATAAATAACATATTTAAATAAAATATTTATTTAGTATAAATATAAATATAAAACACATTGAAATAATATTATTTTAAAATCTTGATAAAAATTTTTGTTTAGCTTGTGTTTTTTTTGTTTGTTTTTTTGTACTTTTATATTCATTTTCCCCCACTTGTTTGGTTTGGATGGTTTTCCATAGTGACATAAAGGCCACTATGAAAGAGTTAAAGCAATGTTTCACAACCTGATGCCCTTCCTGACGTTAACTTGAGTAACAATTTTCTATTTGTAAATATTTGCAATAACTTTTAATAAAAAGTTAAACTCTATTAATGGATACACAGGCATAAGAAAAATAAAATCAAGTTCATCTTGCATGGAGTTTGTGATTAGATTAGTTGAATTGTTGTGAATTATCAGATAGTTACATAATGTTATTTCTTTTATTATTACATTTTTTTTAACATAACTCTTTCCTATATACCTTTCATAATTTATTTTATACGTTTATCGCTTATAATTAATACTTAACTTAACGCTGCCGCTGCTGCTGCTGCTCACCATTCGTGCACCTTTACACGGACTTTTTTACCATACTTGGCCTTTGAGTTTTTTTATAAATTGCTTTACTTCTGAACTCGCGTAATGAGGCTCTTTCAAATCTTAATAATCTGTCAGTATCTGCTTAATCAGTAATGAGATCAAAAACTTTGTTTCATCAGCTTAATTAGTGATAAGATCAACAATTTTTATTTGATAACTTCTGTAGTAAAGGATGAACATTATGTTATTATTGAATTAGTAAAGTAACTTTTAAAGTCAGGTGATTTATTTAAATCATGCATTTTAGTCTTTTGTCAATTGTATTTAAATTTATTAATTTATAAAATTAATCTGTAATTTTTAAATTAAAAGACGACTCAAGAAGACGTTGCTCATTTCAAAGGTCAAGAGGTCAAACTCTTGATAAAGTTAGTGTATAAAACACTTGCATCTCACATGGTCAACTCAATGTTACATGTTAAAAAACAAGATCGTTTAATACCTTATTTAAAAGAAGTTATAAAAATCCGTATAAAAAACCAGATTGTTTGATAGTTTGTTTTTGAAAGTTGTTAAACATTTATTACGAGGTATTTCAAAAAACAAAAATAAGGTTGTATTTGTAAAGTTTCAAATTTATATATTTTTCTTAATTTATATATTTATCTATATATGTGTGTTATTTATATTGTGTTTTATTGTGTATTTATGTGTTAAGGTTATATGGGTTTACATTTTGTAAGTGTGTAAATATATGAAATGTTTCAATGTTTGTGGTGTGTTATATGTAATATGTTTATAGTTTGTAAGTGATAATTATGTTGTTTGCATGGTTTCAAATTGTTGTGACTGGGCTTAGTTTACAGCAAGATTGTTGACCTTGCTAGCCAAGTGGTGTACTTTGCTATAATGTGACCTGGCTTTGTTGAGAGCAAAAATATTGTCCTCGCCAGCAGAGTGGTGTATTGTCATAATAAAACACATAAATTAATTCTGTTTGTAATTAGTGTATTTCTAAAATGTGTTGAAAAAATATTGTTGAAAAAATGTGTTTTAATGTTGTTATCCTCTGTTCTTAACAATGTATGCTTTTGACAATAAATAAATTTTGTTAAAAAGCAGGCTTTACTAACAGCTCCTCCTCTTTAAAATTTTTAAGAGTTTCGATTTTCTTCATTAAATATGTTTAACTCAAATTTTTTTTATATATATAAAAGTAAGTATACAGCATGTTGAAGCATAAGTTTTAATAACTTTTGTTAAATTTTTAGGATTTTTTGTATAGAGAATGTTTTCTTTATATTATTATTTTAATGTTTTGTATGTACATCAATATATATATATATATATATATATATATATATATATATATATATATATATATATATATATATATATATATATATATATATATATATATATATATATATATATTATATATATATATATGTATATGTATATATATAGACACACACACACACAATAAAATATATAGAATTAAATGTCTATACATATATTATATGTATAGACATTTTAATTTTTTTGCCTTAAATTATTGTCCCTTTTTCTTTAGAATATTAAATATCTAAAAAAAAATTAAAATAGTAAAAGAACTTTCAACATTTCCATGTTTCTTCACTTGAAGCAAATATATGATTGTTTATAGAGGTTCTTTTAGTAGTTTTGTATTTATTTATTGCAAATCTTGCGTTAAATGTCTTTCAAAGTAATGAAAAGGTTTTGTTGATGGATGATTACATTTTATCCTTCCATGCTAGCAGTACTTGCTGAGTTGAAAGGCCTTAAATTTTTTTAATTTGCTTTATTTATGAGTTCTTATTTGTAAAAAATTTGTTTTTTAAATTACATTTTTTTTTTTGTTTTTTTTTTTGATTAAATACTTATAATATTTTGTCAATAATTAATAACAACTACCATAAATATATAAACAATACTTAGTTGAAAATATTATATTAATTTATAACTTTAGTTTAAGTTTTTAATAAAACTATGTTATCTTAACACAATGCTATATATGGTAGAATATAATAGATTATAGTATTATGCTCTGTATTATTTGCTTACACTTTATTTTAGATAAGTTTAAAAAAGAAACTTCAACTTTTATTATATTAGGCATCGTTTTTACACACTCCTTTGATGCCTAATTATGTCTAATAATTTAAGAAATGAAATTATTAGACTTCGTCAAAATGAAAGAAGGCAGGCTAGGCAAGCTGAGATAAACCGCCGTCGAAATAAAAGAGATGAGCCCAGGCGAACTGAGATAAATTGTCGTCGAATTGAAAGAGATGAGCCCCGGCGAGCTGAAATAAATTGTAATGAAAATGAAAGAAATCAGGTTAGGCGAGAACTTAATAGGTATAATATGCATTGCATAGCAAGAAATAATATTGCTATAGAGAGTAACTACCTCGGAGAATTAAACCATAATTGTCAATATTGCAGTGCAAAGAAGTTTTTAAATGAAACTCATTTTTTGTGCTGCCATTCAGGAAAAGTTGTATTAGCTCCTCTTTCTCTTTATGCGCCATTGTTGACTGGTTTAATGACAGGAAACCATGTTGATCATGCTGTAAATCAAAATTTTTTTAAACACATAAGGAGTTATAATTCCTCTTTATCTTTTGCTTCCTTCACTGCCGAAATAGCTCCTCCCTCAAATAATGGCCCTTTCTGTTTTAGGGTCTGTGGGCAAATTTTGCATCGTGTTGGAAATATAAGGCCTGCAGAAGGTTGTCTGCCCAAATATTGTCAGCTGTATATCTATGATCCTAATGCAGCAGTGTTATTCAGAATGGAACAACCTGGTAATGATGGTTGTATACATGAGTTAATGCAACTCTTGCAAACATTAATTAATCAAGAAAACCCATTTGCTCTTGCATTTAAAAACATGGCAGAAGTAGAGGATGAAGAAATCCGCCAAGCAGCTTTAGAAGGTAGACCAACCTCTGTTGTAAGAATGTCTTTGCTTGAAGGTCATGATAGACGTCGATACAATCTTCCTTCCCATGAGGAAGTTGCTATTGTGTTTGTGGGAGATGATGGTGCTCCACCTGCATCCAGGGAAATTGTTATATACCCTCGAGATCAGCCTTTAAGAACAATTTCGTCTATGTCTGCAAATTTGGATCCTTTGGTATATCCAATATTCTTCCCGAGAGGTGATGCTGGATGGCACAATCAACTAGAGCACAACCCTGACCATGCAACCCGTGTTAGAAACCATGTTACTTTGTCTCAGTATTATAATTATAGGCTTGCTGTTAGACAAACTTTTAGTCCTATATTCTATGGTAAGAAACTTTTTCAGCAATATGTTGTTGATGCATATGTCAAAGTTAAGGGACAGCGCCTTGCTTTTATTAGAAATAACCAAAACAAACTTAGAAGTGAGCAATATGATGCATTGCATGAACATGTAATTAATCGTGCTAATGATCTTAATGTAAGACTAGGCCGTGTTGTTATATTGCCTTCTTCATATGTTGGTAGTCCAAGAGCATTAAAAGAAAACTTTGAAGATGCGATGGCAGTTATAAAGAAATATGGTAAACCAGATCTATTCATTACTTTTACCTGCAATCCAAAATGGAGAGAAATAGTAGAAAATTTAAACCCAGGCCAAACTGCTAATGACAGACCTGATTTAGTTTGTCGGGTATTTAAAATGAAACTTAAATTTTTCTTAGAGGATATTTTTAAGCATGGAGTCTTAGGCAAAGTTGTAAGTCATGTGCAGGTTATTGAGTAGTGATATCTATATATATCTAATATATGCGTATACAGCACAAACGCTATACTTTATTTAGTACGCATATATAAATATATAAATATAAATAGACAAACAATTTACACTCTTATAAACAGTGTTGGGTTAACTGATAGACAAAATAAGCACTGCTATCATATTTTATTTATTGGAAATAAATAAAAATATCAAGTAATTCTCTTTTTAGACGATGATGGTGACTTTTTTAGAAGTAAGTAAACTATAATTTCTTTAGAAGTAAACAATTTTTATTTATATAAAGTGATAGTTATAAAAAATTTATTTCAAGTATGGAAAAATCAGTAGCATATTTTTTATCAAATATTTGTATACTAATAGTAATTTGATTGTTGGTAATAGTTATATAGTTATATACACGCAGCTATTTAATAGTGAAATTTCATTATTATATGTAAAATTCAAATCTTGAAATAAGAAAAAAATCTTTATGTGTTTTTCAACTAGAAACTTGGAATTTATTTTCTAGACCAGATGTTGTGATTATTATATTTTCTAGACTAGATGTAGTGCTTTATCATATGATATGCTAAATGTATATATTGTATTGTGTGTATATCTTAGATGCGCAGGAGATAATGGCAGAAGAGACAGAGTCTCTTCTGCCTTATTTTAAAGAATTCTTCAATAATCAAAGTTAGCATTTTCTATTTTTTCTTTTTTACTTCAGTTTTTTTGAAGTTTATGTTACAGTAAATAAATTTATGAACTAATCTTTCATACATTTTGTTTATTTAGAAAATTTAGAAAGTAGAGTTAGTAAGCAAAATTTCATTATATTACTTTTATGTATATTAAATAAAAAATAATGAAGTTGGCTTTAGTAATTTGTTCATCTATTTAGAAAAATTAGAAGATTTACAAAAGTCCATAGGTGAGTAAAATTGCTTTTATGTTTATTATACACCCTAATTATTTATGTACATCTAATATTAAATGCGTTTTTTCAATTTGAGATTAGTTTTGGACTTTGTACTTTTTGGTCAATTTTTTTAGATATCATTTTAAACTACATTTGTAAGTAACTATATTATGTTTTATGTCTCATAAAAGTTTTAATAAATAATATAATGTAATCACTTATATAGTGACAAATCCAACTTCCTCAGTAACGTATGTTGTTGTACTCACTTAGACTTGACTTATTACATTGATTGATTGTTTTTATTGCATTTTTAATTTTCTTTTATTTATCTCTAGCTGCTGCTTCTTCTGCTACAAGTAAGTTGTTCTATTCACTTATACTTGACTTAATTTATGGATTAATTGGTTTTATTGCATTTTTAACTTTCTTTTATTTATCTCTAGCTGCTTCTTCTGTTATAAGTAAGTTGTTCTATTCACTTATACTTGACTTAATTTATGGATTAATTGGTTTTATTGCATTTTTAACTTTCTTTTGTTTATCTCTAGCTGCTGCTTCTTCTGTTACAAGTAAGTTGTTATATTCACCTTTACTTGACTTATTACATTGATTGATTGCTTTTATTGTACCTTTTGTTTTTTAATATAGCTACAAATGTGCTTTCCAGTTTAATTAGTTAATGTAATAAGTCAAATATTAGTGAGTCAAATAAATAAGTTGTTGTGCTCACTTGTACTTAATTTATTACATTATTTGCTTTTATTGTTTTTTTACAGTAGATTTTTTGTAAGTATTACCTAGGTAGATAGTTGTATTTATATATAATTTTTTTTTCAGGCTCGAAGTCATGGGAAGATTTCCGAAAGTATCGCTCCCAGCATCCAGGCCCTCTATCTATGAGAGCCTTCCATCGCTGGTGTTTGTATGGGGACGACCATCCCTCCTTTAGGTGGAGGGATGGCACCCCATACAACACGGGGAATAGAGCGGATGCTGGGAGGAGAAGACAACGTGCCTCAAAAGTTGCCAATAATTTTTTTACATTTTAAAATGTAAAGAAATTGACAGCTTTTGAGCCACTTCATTTTTTTTTTGAAATTTTTTTTTTGTAATATATTTTTGTAAATTTATTTTTGTGTTGTTTTTTAATTTTTCCCATGAATGTTAAATGTTATCAAAGTAAATCATTTAAATAAAGACACCTTTATCAACAATGCTCATTAACTAGAAATAAAAGTCACGGTCATACATTTGATAAAGTTAATGTTAATCTCAAAGGGATTTGGTTTTCACACAATCAAATTCTATGTAGCACCTTCCAGAACTAAGAATATAAGTGTGTGGTGTTAGTAGTTTAAAATATGTATAATAAACTCAGAATAACTCAATAACCCTCAACAAAACTATGAACTAATTTTGAAATTCAAGTTGAGCTTTTTTATTTATTAATACCTCCCCTCCCAATAACTCATTTTCCTTAAAAAACTAATTTTTTTGTCCTTTGAAGGTTGTTCTGCTATTTAATTAATTGTTGTGATGTTTTATGCAAATAGATTTCGCTCACATTCATGTTGGTCTGTCAGGGTTATGTAAAAATAAAAAAGTAAGTTTCTTATTCTCATTTTTGAGTTTTCAAAAGTATTGATTGCATGACATGTTAATTTGTAATTAATGTGTATGATTATGCGTTTAAATAACTTTGTTCCATTTTTAGTTCCGTTTCTTATAGCTGACTTGATTATGGCTTACCTAAAGCTTAATATTTATGAAACAATGATTCAATTTAAATTGTATTATAAGTAGCTCTGTTGAATAAAATTTTTTTTTGTAATTTGTACTAAAGGTTATATTTTTATTTTATATCAAGAAAAATATGTTTTTAAGTAAATATCTATATTTTTTTATTTTAGGATTTATTGCTTTAAATGGATATAAAAATCATTTTTGCTTTGTCTTTTATATTTCCTTTTATTATATATGAATAGGAACCATTTATGCTTTAATCACCATTAGCACTCGAAGTTTCCATTTGCATTAAGTATCGATTTTTGGCACACACAACAGGTTTAATAACTTAGGCAGTAAAAACAGCTTGAATGATTTGTTAAGAGTCTTTAAAGAAACGCTTTTACGAAAAGCATTAAATAGATAAAGCTAACTTATTTAAAATAATAAGTCTTTAACCCGTTTTTCTACATCCAAATTTACTTTTTAAATAAATGTTGATGAAAGGGTAAAATATCGTTATAGCCTACGTTAATTTTAAATTCTTTTTAAATTAAAGGAAAGAGTTTTGATACTTATTTAAATAGGGTTAATAAAATATTTTAAATTATATTATATATTATATTTAAGAAATTATTAAACTAAATTAAATAAGATTTTTAGATGAAACAGTAAAAATAATTGTTTAAAATACGTGCGTGCAAATAATTCCTACAAATACTAAACGTAAAATAACGCTTACAAACACCAAAAGTATGTTTGCAGTGAATAAAGTTAAGTTCAAAGATAAATAGGAAGAAATGTTCAAAACTGTTTCAATAATAAGATTTATTTTTAATTACTTTTGTTGTAAGTTGGGATGAAAAAAAAAGGTCACTGGAGTATGAACTCCCCGGGGTGAGATGACTATATCTGTCTAAGTGTTTCGCGTCTACCAATTATCCCATAAACGTATTTTCTATTTAGAATTTAAGATTATTTATGACGCATAAGAAGTGTAATTAAAAATTCAAAACCAAGTTTGCAACAACTGAATTTAAATAAAATCTAATTAGATGTGTATATGTTATGAACGTTAACTAAGGCGTACTTTAACGGCGTCACGTGTTGAATGTTTTAGCATTTTTCTAAGTTCGTAGTCTTTTTTACGTTTTTTCTTATTAAAATTTTTATAATCGGCATAATATTAAAATCGTTTGAAGTTTTTAAAAGAACATTTTAACAGAAATGTTTTTGTCATATCAAAAAGTAAGTATAATTTTTTATATGTACATTTTTAAACGGTTTTAAAAAAATATTGAGGTAAGGAATAAGTATAGAAAAGGTCGGTGTGGAATAGATTTACTAAGACCCTTAGTTTACGTCCGGATAGCTATAGATAAGTATAAAAATGGTCGGTTCGGTAAAGACCCGTATTTTACGGGTCTCCCCAGCTAGTATTATATTAATACGTTTATATTATTATTACGCAGCCAAATTTTCCGTTTTAAATTAGACGTCTTAGTCTTGTCCAGGGCCGGCGCCTAGAGGTAATTAAAGTAAATGTAAGTCGTAAGAACAGTGTCGTTAGAGGCTCTTCTAAAAGTTCTCCTAATAAGGGCCTCATTTTATTTAAAAAAAAACTTAATTTTTTAGGTAATACAAAAAGCGTCTTATATTTTGAAAAGGGTCCCGTTAAATTAGGGGCCCATGCCCCTAATTTAGGGGCCCATGCCCATAAATTAGGAGTGTATGGTACTGCGTAAGAATAATTAGCAGGTAGAACAAAATTTCATCAATTTCTAACATGTCGTTGTTGAAAAATGTACTTAATATGTTTAATATATATGATGTAACAACATAATATTTTTGAATTTTACTAAAAACCAAAGTTATTTTGTTCTATCTCCAAAAGAGGGTGCAAAAAAAAGGGCGTTAGCGTAATTTTAAAAAGTTTTTTTTATCTAAAAATTAATAATAAAAATTTTTAAATCTTAGGAAATACCTAAATTCTCAAAATATTTTTTCAATTTAGCTGCGAACAAATTCAAACTTTGACATCGATTTTCTCAGTTTGCAAAAACATGGAGATAGCTCAAGATAATTCTAACGTCGCGATATATAATATAAGTTAAGAATAGGAGACTATATGTTTGTTGTTAATTAAAAAAAATTTTAACAATTGTTTTGAATAATTAAATAGTAACTTCAATAAATTACAAATTTAATTTTTTATAAATGCATACTTAAAACATACATTTTAGAAAAACATGTATTAAAAAAACTTGGTTTTATTATATGATTTACTGTTTTTTACAAAAAAAGTAAATTAAAAATGGCGATGTTAGTTAGAAAATATACCAATTGGGTATGCAGTTTTTTATCAATTTAATAG